TTTTTTTGGGGGGGGGGGGACGGAGTCTCACTCTGTCACTAGGCCTAAGTACAGTGACATGATCTCAACTCACTGCAGCCTCCGACTGACTCCCTGGTTCAAGTGATTCTCCTGCCTCAGCCTCCCAAGTAGCTGGGACTATAGGTGCCCGCCACCATGCCCAGTTAATTTTTTTCTGTGTTTTTAATAGAGACGGAGTTTCCCATGTTGGCCAGGATGGTCTCGATCTCCTGGCCTCGTGATCCACCCGCCTCAGCCTCCCAAAGTGCTGGGATTACAGGTGTGAGCTGCAGCGCCTGGCCGTACCTAGCGCATTTTAAGAGCTCATTGTATTATTATTATTTATATTAACTAGGAGGCAGGTTTACTGTAACATTCAATATAATGAGAAATATTTACTGAGTCCCTATTATGCATTTGACACTGGGCTATGTCCTAGGGAGGCAAAGATGTTGGAAAGAAAAATTCCTGCCCACAAGTCACTGGTAGTCTATAAGAGAAAAAGTTGATTTTGGTATTATGATTTCAGTGAGGCCAATAAAGCAGAGTCAGCAGAGGGGAAAGTGATTTGCTTTCAATTGCTGGAGTGAGACAAATAGGGTCTTAGAGCATGAGATTTTGAGCTGGAGGTTAGAGGATTAATAAGAGTTAAGCAAGAGAGCACACGTATGGCAAGGCAACTTGTTGAGACTCTGTATGTATGTGTGTGTGTGTTTCTGGTTGTGGCAGAATCAGAAAGGATAAGATACAGGCCAGGCTTGGTGGCTCACGCCTATAATCTCAGTACTTTGGGAGGCTGAGGAGGATGGATCACTTGAGACCAGGAGTGGGAGACCAGTCTGGCCAACATGGTGAAACCCTGTCTCTACTAAAATATACAAAAAAAATTAGCCAGGCATGCTGACACACGCCTGTAGTCCCAGCTGCTTGAGAGGCTGAGGAACGAGAATTGCTTGAACCTGGGAGGTGAACATTGTGGTGAACCGAGATTGCACCACTGTACTCCAGACTGAGTAACAGAGCGAGACTCCATCTCAAAAAAAAAAAAAAAAAAGAGAGAGAAAGAATAAGATCCATCTGTATTTTGTTTTATGTGTTTTCTCTCCACCCCTGCTGAAAGATGGCATCTTGGCACATGTGAGTCTTTGGCTTGAGTATGTTCACCCGGAAGCTGAAGACAGCGCCCTATCCCTTTCCCATTTTCATTCTGAAAAATCCGTTAAAGAGATTTTGTGAATTGTATCAGTGGGCTGTTTTGAGTCCCAGTAGTCGGAAGCTGCAGGAACAACAGGGGGAGGTTCCTAAGTCTAGCAAGTGGTGGTTTGGGGTTCCCTCTGGATTGCGGATTTGCGTTCTACACATTCACAGTGTCCTAAGGAGGTGGCAGGAACTCTGAGAGGAATAACCAAGAGAGATGGGTGGAAAGGCTGGTCACGTGTTGGCCCATCTCTGGCCGCACAGTGTGACTGAAAGGTGGGGCAGCTAACCCAGCAACGTGGGGCAGACGGAAAGGCAGAGCACCTGCCAGACCCACTACAGATGCTGCACATGTGGGCAGATCCAGGCTACCAGGAGCGTCCTGCATCCAGGCATTCGCCTTAGTCTCAGCCTAATCTCCATGGAAGTTGGAATCGTTTTTTTTGGGGAGACAGACATGCTTTATAATCAGCAAATCATGGAATAAACACAGAGGAACCAAGAATGGCAGGGCTAATGAGACTCGGAGAGCATCAGCTCGTCAGCTGCATGCTGCATATACACACAAAACTCTTTTTTTCTATCCCACATGTTGAAAGATCGTCACAGAAATGTGATTACTATAGTGGATAAACATCACAGCACCTAATAAGGTCTCCTGAAAAAAACACATTCACAACAAAAATTACTGCATGCCCTTCATTTGAATACATGATGGACTTGAGTAAAGACATACAAAAGTCATTAGGTGAGGGTGGCCATCATGTGCTCCAAAGTAAAGAGAAAACTGAAAAGGAAAACCATTCCAACAAACACAGGCCCAGGGTGTCTATCGTTCGTCACAGAAGTGTTACTTCCAGGCTGGGTTTAGAAATCACCTGTTCACATGAACCTCTTGCTGACAGACGCATACACCATTGGACTTACTCCTTTGAGCCTTTTGAAAGTCTGCCAGAGGTGAGTTTTCCCACTTAGTTGGAGAACAATTTTCATTGGAGTGCTTTTCCTGGAAGTAGGTTTGGAGGTGTCCTGTGGAGAGCATGCACATGTACCCTGGTCTTTTATTCCAGTGCGAAAGGCCAGAATTCCTGGTGCTGGGTGGGTAATTTTAGACAGCGGAACACGCCTTCAAAGACCATTATCGAGTCCGACCTAAGCGCTAGGTTGGCCCTGATCATTATGCCTCTTAGCTGTGCCCTACGCTGTAATAATCAGTTCTCATGCTGCCCCGATTGTCACAAAGACACCCTCTCAAGCTGTACAAGTCACAGACTGGGTCTGTCAACTTCTTCCTTCCTGATGCCCAGAATGAGATAACAGGCGAACGGACCGTACTGCTCTGCAGACGGTTATGTAACAGGAGGCCATCTGTGACCCTGCTCCAAGGCAGAGCGTACATGTTCCTCACGTGCCCTCCCTACTCATTTCTCATTGATGGCTCCAGATGTTGAACTAAAGTGATTTCTGAGGTCACCTATTCAGAACATCCAAACATTACGGAACATCAGAGGAGAATAAGCCAGTATTGTTCTTCAGAGTGAATACCAAACAGAACTTTTAGTTCAAGAGCTTTTCTAAACTTTCCTGGATAGTCTCAAATGTCAAATAAAAATTAGCACTCAATGCCGGTAAGTGTGTGACTCCGTGGGTGCCCTTTGTGTATCCAGGTGATAAGAAGTTCAATCTATATATTTTGGAAAGCTGTTTGGCAATGGATTTCAAGCGTTTGAAGAATGTGTAATTTTTTAGCCCAGTACTTTCACCCCTATTCTAATAAAATGGTCTAAATTCAGACAGAGCTTTACGGAAAATGTGGTCATTACTGTGACACCTTGGAAACAAACTAAAATAGCCAACATTTAGGGAACCAGTAAGTCCTTTTAGCTGAATTCCTCAATGAAATATTTCAAGCCATGTGAAATGAAGTTTACAAAGAATTTGTACTGGGAAAAATGCTAATGTCCCTAATGATTCACTTAAAAAATAGAGTATAAAATTAAATATACAATATAGTCTCAAGTTAAAATTTTAAAATGTACAACAAAGACAGCAAGAAATAGACCAAAATGTTCAAGGAATAGACCAAAATGTTCAGGCCGTAACATTATGAGTGATTTAATTTCTTCTCTTCTATGTTTTTGTCATTGTATAAATTTTCTACGACATGCACGTATTCTTTTTATACATTAGAAAAGTGTTACTTTAGAAATCTAATATTTGGGGATAAAAGTCAGAAAAACTTCCTGGGGGCAAGGGGAAGTTATTGATTGGAAAGGAGCACGAGAGAACTTCCTGGAGTGATGGGAATATTCTATATCTTGATTTGAGTGGCAGCTAGATGGTTGTATACAGAGAGAAAAATCCATTGGACTGTACCATCAATGTGTGTGTACTCCATTGCAGGTAAATTTTGCTTCCGTTTTTAAAATACAGCATATTTGCCTTTCCATTCCTTTCATTGTGTAAAGCCCCCACTTGCCTTTCTTCCATGGTATTCATGGCAAACCCCATTTCCCGTCACTCCTCTCAAAAGTTGCTTCTACCCACATGTCCCACCTTCACCATTAGATTGTAGACATCTTCTGAGAAGAACCTCATTGTCTCTTTCCTACAAACCTCTCTGAAGACAGGTCCGGGCACTGTGGCTCACGCCTGTAATCCCAGCCCTTTAGGAGGCCGAGGTGGGTGGATCACAAGGTCAGGAGATTGAGACTATCCTGGCTAACATGGTGAAACCCCATCTCTACTAAAAAATACAAAAAAATAGCTGGGCGTGGCGGCACATGCCTGTAGTCCCAGCTACTCAGGAGGCTGAGGCAGGAGAATGGCTTGAACCTGGGAAGTGGAAGTTGCAGTGAGCCAAGATCGTGCCACTGTACTCCAGCCTGAGTGACAGAGAGAGACTCTGTCTCAAAAAAATTAAATAAAGAAATAAAACACACACACACACACAGACAGACAGACACACACACACACACACACACAAAGCTCACCAAAGGCAATTCCTACTTTTAGTTCATGTTCTACTACTTACTTGATGAATGACCTCAGGTAATTAACTTTTTCTTTAGTTTTTTGCATCTTCAAACTTGAGGGTAGGGTTAAGAACATCTACCTTGTAGGGTTATATTGTGAAGATTGGGAATTACGTATAAAAAGTACTTCCCAACAGGGTCTAAGGCACTGGTGAGCATCTGATAAGTTGAGGTGAATATTACTCTTAGCCAAACTGGTCTCCCATCTCCCACTGATCCGTGCTAACCCCACTCATTCTTCAAAGCATAACTAACTCTTCTAGAAGCCATTCATGACCACTCCAACTTTCATGGGTGTCATCATTTTGGTAGCCCAATTTAGCCTTTTGTCACCTACTGCCATGTAGAACTTGCTGTTATTTCATCGCAAATAAAAATGATATTTATGGGTCACCTGCGATATGCAGACACAATTATAAACTATATACACTGTCTCCAACCATTTTACAACCATCCTATGAGGTGGAATTATTACCCCATTTTACAAGGCAGAAGACTGCAGACTCAGAGAGGGACATGAAATTTGTCTAAGGTCACACAGCTGAATTTGAAGCCGACTCTGTCTGAGCTCAAAATCTGTGTTTTTGTTGTTGTTACTGTTTTCTTCTTTAACATGTGCTAGCGATCTACCCTATTAGGCTTGAACATTTCTTGAGGATCTGATATGATTGACAGAAGGAGGCACAGGAATCATGCATTCACTCATTTAACAAATACCCATAGGGCACTATGACAGATGCTATCTGTGTCCCCTCTTCTTCCTCTTAGGTCTTGGTACACATAACCCAACCTCCAGCGGTATCATCCACAACTCTTCACCTAAAGACTTTCTCTGGCCACCAGAGCCTGCTCTGCCCCTGGCCATGTCAGAGTGAAAGTGATGGAGAATGTCTGCTTCCAGGGAACAGCCCTCAGCGATGGATGGGAATTGGTGTACAGCTGCCCCAGCCCTATCACTTCTCAGTTGGGGTATGTCTGAGGTACGTATTCCATGCGGGCTCTTGGAGCTCCCCGGGAAGATTATTCTCCAGCTGCCCCCATGGTAACTCACTGGACAACACACCCTTTATGGTCTGCCTTTCCTCACTGCCCTGCCTTCACCCCCCAAATCAACCACTTGTACTTGAATCCCTGACTCAGCGTCTGCTTTGGGAAGAAACCAAGCACAGAGAAGCACACACATCTATCAGGTACCTATCTATGCAACTTGCTCCCTATTGGGAGAGACTAAGTCATAAACAAGCCAACAGCAAATAAAGATAATTATAGATCCTCAAATTCACCAGGAAAGATCCAAGACGCTGTGATAGAGAAAAAGGTGGAGGGATTATTTTTAGATATAATGGCCCTGGTCGTCATGAAAAGGGGCCTTCAAACTGAAGGTTGGAGGACCTGAAGAGCAAGAAGGAGCCAACCACATAAAGGGCAAGAGAAAGAGAATTCTAGCAAGAGGAATCACAGAGGAAAAAGATCCCCTAGTTGGGAAAATGCTTTGCACATTTATGCACTCAAAGGAGGGCAGCATGATGATAACAGAGTGAATGAGGAATGTAGAGACATAGGCAGGTGACAGATCCTTTAGGACTGTGGACATGTCAAGAAGTTTGGAATCCTGAGAAGTCACTCGTGATTTAAAGGAGATCTTTGTACATAACTTTGAGCCATGCATGAAGGTTACGGCTTTCATTCTTCTAAGGGCTTTGGATTCAAATTCATTCACCTGGCTTCAGGGAGAAGGGGAAGGGAGAAGGGGTACAGGGAGACTGCTTTTGCAAAGAATTATGTCAGGAGATGCTGAAGGGACTCTTTGTTTCATCAAGTAAGTTTTTCCCTTTGATTCCCCAATACCTCTAATTCTGCATGTCACCAGGAAATAGGTGTGCTGCAGCTCGGTGACAGCCTTCTCCAGTGTCTATGGCAACCTGGGGCTGGGGCCATTTTTCCTTCAATGAATGGGCTGGCTTCCTGAAGATAAGTAAAGCCCCATTGTTGTTCTCAACTGTTACAGAGGGAGCGTGCACAGGGGTAATAAAGTTACAACTGAATACTGCTAATGATATTGCATAAAATAATATGAATTAAGTAAATCATTTCTCTCCAGCTTAATTATAGATGCTTCAGGGTGAAAATGCAAGAAAGAGCCTCAAACCGAGGCTTTGCTTCTTATTCCAGCCATTATTTCCAGTGTTCTTTTTTTGTGGCCACGGTCCATGTACCTTATTGTCTGACGACTATGAAAAGAGCTGCCTTCCAGGTTTGTGAATTACAACCACTTAGCTGTGCTCCTGAGAGAAACAATAGAGCTAAACAAAGCTGGGTAGGTGGAGGATGGAGCATTATTTGACAACAGAAGTCTCCCAACTAACAGATCAGGTGGGTGTAAGACTCTTGATCGTCTTCTTACTACTTTGGGCAAGGGTTACCTTTCCAAAGAAAAGCTGATCACATCATTCAATAGCATAATAATCTTCCGTGGCTTCTGGTAGACTGCAGGATAAAAAACTACGTATTTGGCTCAACCTCTTCAACCTCAGCTCTCATGTTGCCTCTTTGTTCTTACTCCACTGAGCTATTACTAGGTCTTCCAAGACACCAAGGTGTCCGGGGCCTCTGAGCTACTGCTTGAGCTGGTCTGCCCTCTTCTCTTTTAAAGAATATACTCTCATCTTCTGAAAGCTGGCTCAAGAATCCCTCACATTGTACAGCTTTTCTTTTTTTTTTCTTTTCTTTTGTTTTCGAGACAGAGTCTCACTCTATCGCCCCTGCTGGAGTGCAGTGGCGTGATCTCAGCTCACTGCAACCTCCACCTCCTGGGTTCAAGCGATTCTCCTGCCTCAGCTTCCCGAGTAGCTGGGACTATAGGCATGCGCCACCACGCCCGCCTAATTTTTGTATTTTGTATGTTGGTCAGGCTGGTCTTGAACTCCTGGCCTCATGATCCACCCGCCTCGGCCTCCCAAAGTGCTGGGATTACAGGCATGGGCCACCGCACCCAGTCTTGTATAGCTTTTCTAGCATCCCTAGGGAAAACCATTTGTTTTCGCCCTTGCAATATGGGGATATGTGTCCCAGGCTCCTTATCGCAGACTTTGGGATCGAGATATATTGATTGCATTCGTGACCCCAATTAATGGCCTTCCTTTATCCACACCTTTTGCCTGTAATTCTGTAGCTCCCTGGCTTGACAATGTGACTTGTTTTATAAGATAAGACAGTCACAAAAACTTCATACAAAAGCAGAGGCTTGCAAACCCGTGCGAGTTTTTTCTTGCCTTCTCAGTGCAACTGGGTTTACTCACTCTTGAATCCCTGCCATGGTCATGAGAACAAGCCTGGGCTAGCCTACTGGAGGATGACAGACACATGGAACAAAACCGAATTGTCCCAGACAAGGCCATCCTAAACCAGCCAGCCCCCAGACAGCCCTCCAGCAGCCTGAAGATGTGGGAAGGAGCCCACCTGAATCAGCAGAACTATCCTAATAGTCCATAGACTAGTAAAACATAATAAATGGTTGTTGTTTTAAGCCACTAAGTTTTAAAATACTTTGTTTTACACCCATTGTTAAATGATATAGGGGACCACAGAGGAGAAGGCTTAGGTCTGGTTGGTTGTTGTCCGACAGCTGCTTGGAAGACAGCAGCTCACCTCACTCCCAATCAAGAGTAAGAGGTGAGAGAAAGAGGGATCCACTGTCTTTAGAACATGGATTCTTTCCAGCACAGAGGCTGGTCCAATCTATGTTATAATACCCTCATCTCATACATCAAATGTTATAACACCGTCATCTCATACATCAAATAATACCCTCACTTCATAGGCCATTTAAAGAACTCCTCCTTCTTCGAAGAGTACCAGTGAGGGGTAAGGAGAAGGCAGACATGGCTAGAGGACAGAAATTTCTCTTTTATAGGGCTAGTTGTAAGGCGATGAGAGGGAAAGGGCTCCCCCTGCAGGACAAATTTAACCAACCATGCACTATTATAAAAGGTTGACCTTTTGAGAACCATTGTATACTGTGTTTTCCTATCATATGGGTTTGTTTTGGAACATGAAGCGGATACTATATCAGTGTAAATTATTAAGGAGAAAATGGAGATGAGGATATGGGCAGAAGAAAGAAGAACTGAAAGATGCAGGCAGAGTAGAAGAAGCACTTTACAAAAGGTGTTTGCCTTCACTGACACCTCTCCACTTCTCACTCTGACTCACATGCATGGATCCTCTTCTCAACACATTAAATATCGTAATAGAAAGTGCTTGATGAGTGCTTGCTACGTGCCAGGAATTGTGCAAATTCACCTATCTCTCACAATAATTCTATAGGTTGGTACCATTGTCGTCATCTTTGTTTTACAGATGAGGGAGGAAGAGTCAGGAAGAAATATGCCTGAAGTCACACGGATAGTAAGTGACGAAATGGAGATTCAAATTTAGGCAGACTTGCTCTAACACCTGCGTTTCACCTGGCTTCTAGGAAAGAAGCCAGACTGTCCCTGAAGCCCATGATGTGGCATTAGGCTTTGGATGTGGATCAACAGAAATGGACAGAAGGCAGGAGAATGATCTTTTCTATATTCCACCTTAGACCTTCTCTAAAATTGGAGTTACCAGACCTGTGCTACTCTGTCCCTGCTTACTATTTAGTTCTAGACATGTGGCTTCCTTCATTACAAACTCATTAGCTGAGGGAAGGGCAGTCTCCTAGCCCGACCATGTGAAGACTTGCCTGAGTGTTCACCCACTCCACTTGGTTGAATGTTACCCGTATCCTTGGCCAATCTCACTATTGCAATCACAAAAGCGTAATCAGCTACCTTCTTCTTCTTCTTTTTTTTTTTTTATCATATCCTGTGAGTCATTTTCTAATTCTACTATTTTAGTTTATTCAATTTCTACACCAGAATATGTCCAAATATACATAACCACATAATTATACCTTTATACACCATGTATCCAAAATTCATTTTATATACAGACCTTAGCGTTTTTCCTTTTCCAGAATGAGATTCCCCTTCTATTCCCTATTTCACATGTCCCCTGCCTCAGCCTTTGTCTGAGGTTATTTCCCAGCAAATGAAGCGGCCCTACCTCTGCATTGTCCCAAGTCATTCTCTGCCAGTTCCACCATCCCACAGGATGTATCTTATTTCCTCCACAGAAAGCAAAGTCAAATTTCATTTTGTCCTCCACTCCCAATTATATTGGCTTCAAGTGCACCTTCAGTGTTTTGCATTCACCAGGGATTTATGTAGAAACCGGTAAAAAGAAGTCCAAAGAAAAAAGTGACACGAATGTGCACATGGTAGATGAGAGAAGAGAGTAGATGTGCTCATTGTCATTGCTGACAGCCTGTGTTTAGGAAGCATTTGCCTGGCCCCAGCTGAATCCTAATATGCATGTGGAAATTGATAATTATGTTCATTCAACCCTTTACAAAGTGCCTTCATGTGTTAAGATGCAAGAACATGAAGCTAAGTGTCCAATTCTTTATTAACTCGGTGTGGAGTTTCGCAGTTAGCGGTGCCAGGTTTGCATCTGCAATTACCCGTCAGCTTTTTAGTGGATCCAGAAGGGCAAGTGAACTACCCTAACCGCAGCCTCCCTCCCCCAATACAATGCATCATTCACCTGTTTGAAGAAATGAAGGGGAGTTGATACGGAGCTAGACACTCTGTTGGTGACTGTGTTTTTCTCTAAGATTTAGCTGGAGAAACCTAAGCCCTGTATGCTCCTCCCTCATCTGTAAAACAAAAGAGATATTTCTTGTGGCCTGGAATTGGAATCAAACTCACTTAATGAGAGGACAAAATGTGGCTACCTTGGGCTAAGGACTCTCAGGACCTGGCAGGTGTCTTGAGAAAGACAAACAAATGCTGTTCCCCATTGTCCTAGGAGAGGCAAACACTAAACAAACAAACAAGTAAACAAAATCATTTTAGATGTAAGAACTCCTAAGAAGAAAATCAAATGGAATCAA